TGTCAAAGTAAATATTTGCCGTTTGTAAACGAATGCCGCAGTCTCAGTCGGCTTCAGATATCCTTCACACTTTAAGAACTTCAGCTTGGCATTCACTTACCTTTGTCGTTCGGATCGAACTCAGCCTCGAGCTCTGCTTTGGTGGGCTCCGGCTCGGCGGCAGCAGCAGAGGCAGGGGCAGAGGCAGAGGCAGAGGCGCTGCCATTGTTGGTTGTAGTTTTGGTTTCCGATTTTTTCATGGTTTCTCTCACTTTGTGGCCTCGAAATACGGCTTGAATCTTTGTGGCGGCTTTGGCTGCAATCAAATGTATCAAATCGCAAAAGATATTAGGGCAAAGTCAAGTCTCATCTCATCTATTATGGACAACTTTAGAGATACTTAAACTGAAACTTAAGTAAAAAGTTGGATTTTAATAAGACGCGGCACAAGTTTCTGTCAAAACTCTGTGACAGCTTTTCTTCTGCCAAGCATTTATGTTGTTGTTGTTTTTTTTTTTTCTTTTATTTTTTGTGTTTTCCTTTGCCTTGTAATAGCTTTTGAGCTTTCAAGTTTCGCAAAGCAATTAACTTCTAGCAGCGGACAGCCCACAGCAAAATCGATCGATTTCTGATTGAGCCCGCAAATTGTTGGAGCGTTTTCCTTATATTTTGGGCTGCCTGCCAGCTGGGCTAATATACTTGAAGCGTAACATCGTGTGCGTGTTTGGATTTTGGGCGGAGACCATGCATTAAATGGCAACTGTAGAAAGTTTGCTATAGTGCAAGGAGATACCCTGGAACATGGCGTGCGTAAGGGGGTTTCTATTTTATTGTTCTTTACGCTTTCAATATAAATTGGATTGTATGCTTTATCACTTTGTCTGTGCTATATATAGCACAAATGAATCGCCTTATGTACATGGGATATCTGAGGTTTTCCATGTGGCGGCTTTTAGCCGGGTCAGCGTTCAACTTTTATGGCATTTTTCACGCAGAAGCAGATACCCAACTGGCTGGCCTTGAATAAGTTATAATAAATTGACACGTAAGGCCTTTTTCGCCAGCACTATCAGCAGCAGCAGGAGCAGCAGGAGTAGTAGCAACAACAGCAGCAAACCGAAACAGAAACAGTTTTGTGGCTTGAAAAATGGTGTTGAATTGTGCAAGGCTATGGGAAACTGTGTCAGGCAGCCGGCCAGATAGCCCGGCCAGGTGGGTGGCAGGTGGCATGTGTCAGGGCGTGGCCAGGTGATACAGGCCACATTTTGCTGATGGCTTTGCCGGCCCTGTCAAGTGGCAGCCAGCTGCCCAAAGTGCTCCAGTCGAGCCATTAAATCATTCAATGGCAAGTCGCCTTTTTTTTTTTTTTTGGTTGCGGCCAGATGTAACTATCTGGCTCAGACAGTTAACCAATAAACAATTAAAATATTGTATAGTATTTGTAAAGGAATTTAAAGTCAATTGAAGTGCTGTCGGGCATATTTTATGCTGCATCGAGTGATATGAAATATGAATTGCTGTCAGCCTTAATAGCTTGATAATGAAATTAAATATGAAATAATTGCATTAGCTCTGGGCCGCTCTAATGAAATAATGTTGGAAATTGCAACGATGAGAGCTTTGCATATAAATGATTTATGTCTATTTGGAAAATTTAAGCAGTGCATGCGAAAAAACAGCTAAAAGCCTGACACGTTACATGAGTGCAAATGAAATTTTACAGCCAGCTCGCTCCAGTTGATAGCCCCGATTTTAGGGCAGCCATAAAGCCGAAGGTTATTAAATAAATTTTGAATGCGGCTCATTAAACCTGGCAAATGAAAAGCAAAAATGAGCCGCAACCGAGTGCTGTCAGCTGTCCGTTGTCAGTTGCCATTGGGACGGTTGGCACTCGAGTGGAAAGTAAAATGAATAACCACAGGCACACAGGTAGGAAAATTACACGTGTGAACGTGCACACTCCTTCCAGGAATTAAATGCGAAAAAATAATAAATACAAAACTTAATGAACTGTATAAAAAACCTAAGTAAGGCCATGTTCACTTTGCCCAAGCGTCCAATTAAAACATATTTTCCGGCTGTACAACGTGGCGTATGTGCGATTTGCGTAAAGTCAGAGCACATCAACGTCAGAATATATATAAAATACCCAATTAATGTCCAAGTATATTTGGGCGCCAGACATGGTCGAAGAGAGCATCGCTTCCGTCTCCTGCTGTCAGCATCTAATTCAATTCTGTTGCCAAGTCGAGCTGCTGTCGTGCTCGTGCTGAGCTTTCTTTGTTTATTGTTGTTGCATTTACATTTTGCTGTTGTTTTTGCAACCACTTAATGGGCATAAGCACGCTTAACTGGCAGCGCGGAATGAGTGCGGCGAATGGCCAGCAACTCTGTCCAAGTTAACTTATTTACATAATTAAAATTCATTAGCTAACGTGCGCCTGTCTCTGGCACAGCCTCGCAGTTTGTTTTGCTCTCTCTCTCTCTCTCTCTCTCTCTCTCTCTCTCTCACTCCTTTTCTCTGTGAACTCTGAAACTCTGATTAAAATGCAGTTGGCAAATGCGATTTTATGTCCGCTGTGCGTAAATAAACTGTGGCCAAAGCAAAATAAATACCAAACGGAAGCATATTTCAAATCTAAAAAAAACTGCTTACTGAATGGAATAACAGTGTATTATATTATACGGAAATATAGTTGTAAGCCAGCGGAATAATTAATTACAATTAGCAAGTGCAAGCTTTGACCTTGAGCGAGCAAAACTTCACCCTAGACTAGACTTAAGCTGAAACAGAATTTAAATCGTTGAGCCACTCAGAGAGCAGAGCAACATGTAACATCTATTATATAAGTATAAGCCTTTCTTTGCCAAGTCGACTTTGCCTCTACTCCAACTCGCCTCCTGCCAACTGCCAACTGCCAGCTAGATGGAGCCTTATTTGTGTACTACGACCTGTGCGCCGGCAGGTGATACTGGACTTGAGCCTGTAATCGTTTCTCAGGCCCACTAACTGTCTCGTTTTATGGCCAATTTCACAGGGCTGGCTGCACAAATGACGTGCAATTTATTACTTTAATTAAATTGTAGACGTTGTTGGCGCTCGCGTTGCATTTTTATTGTGATTTTGTTAGCACGCGGCACGATTTCGCTTAAAGTTCTATCCCAGGAAGTAACTGGAGAATATGAGAACGAATGAGCTATGGAGGAGCAAAGCCGTGCACTGCAGCAACAAACATCGAGCAGCTGTTTCCTGTTCGTGTTATTATGAAATCACAGTCATGGCCTTAGACCATAAACTGTATGCTCGCTCGTGCATGCACCTTAATGACAGTCTTAAATAAATAAGCAGCTGCCCTAAGCCACAGCAGACAGCAGGCAACTGGCATCAGCTAAATGGCCATGTTCTAGTCCAGCTGCCGACCTGGCTTACACGACAAGTAGCGTGGCAATGCCAATTGATAAATTTTGAATATTTCATGGGCGAACAGTTTGCATTTATAATAATTTTGCCATATCACGTTCTCATGCGATCAATTACATCCACAGACCGGATGCATATTAAATTTGCATTTCATTTCCCATTTAATTCATTTATATACATTTTTTTATCGCTTTCAAGTTTGTATGCCTGATTGTTGTCAGATTAAAACTTTAGTTTGCTCGACACGACGTGGCGTATATCCAAATACAAATAAAATTCATGCATAACAAGATACGGCCACGTTTCACTCTATTATTTGATACAGATTCAGCTGTTGTTCAGCTCACGGAATTCGATTATGATGACACACGGCCAGCTCCATGGCAAATGTTGGCACAGCTACTGCGACAATAACAATCCAATAATAACAAATTGTCGATGAAGCAACTATTGATTGCATTCGTGCCAGCGCAACTTCATGAGAACTGCAAATGGGGCATAGAATTGATAAACAACAACAACAACAGCTACTACAAAACAGCAAACAATATCTGAACTTGGCAACACTTTCGCTACTCGCCTGCTCATAAATTAGCAAAAACTCGGGAAACTATGACAAGTTGCTCCCATAAATATTGAGCTGAGTTATTCGCTTAAGCCGAATTATCGATCCTAATATAAATATATAAATATATACGAGTTTCCGTTAATGAAATTGCATGAATATCAACAAGGTGTCATAACGCTGCGTGCCTTAAGTTCATATATATAATTCCGAAAAACTCTTGCCCCACGCTTCAAGCATGTCCATGTCGCTCGCCCCTTAAGTGAATCTTTATGGCTTGAAGTTTTCCTCTCTGTTTTGTTTATGTTTTTGTTCTTTGCTTTGCTTAAGGTAATTGAGCGACGGGAACTTAAATAGCTCTGCTGGGACTAAATCAGAGCTTGCCGTGCGAGGGTACGTAATATCACAAATGAGATGCGTTTAAAAGTGAATAAATAAATAAATTGGAGTGTCCCCCTTTAACCAATGGCTTACTATATTGATTCCATATTGTTATATATATTTGAGAGACGTAGCAACGAATGAGTTGCAATGTGATGGGAATAGTCATGTTTTATATATGAGACAGTTGAATAAAATATAAGTCAAACGACAGCATTCAACTGGGAATCAATTGAAGTCAGGTTGTTGAAAAATAAGTCATGAATCAGTGACAAGTGAGCACATTTGATAGCTGGGATAGTG